ATGTTCGACAATACTATATTCCACGATGCACTGAAGCCGTGGTAAACGAACCGTGAAGTAGCGAGGGATCACTGTACTACAGGGCTCATTTTGGTCGCGGGCCACATTGTAGTTACGGTTTCCCTTGGAGGGCCGTTATGAGTTTTGGGAAACCATAGAAATGTTTAATCCCCACCACATATTACCTACACAGCGCATAACAAATTGATGAATAACTCGTTTTAAAATCAAAAGTCAAGAATAATGACTGTTATTGTGGATTACATATGACCATTTGAAATTTTGGTTCAGACTTCAGCATGCATCATGGAACTTGACATGCTTGATTTACTTTCACAGGCCACATAAAATGATGTGGCGGGCCAGATCTGGGCCCCCGGGCCTTGACTTGGACACCTGTGCTTTACTATATAAGAGTAAACCTATTCTGCGTAAACATGTTTAACATAACGACATGAATAAATACTTCTTGTATGGTCATAAGTAATACCAGAGGGTCATCCCTCACTTAGGGCACTGAGGGGATAGGCCTTGCGGAACTGGCGACATAATTGACTGATGACTTCCCAGAAGCGGAGTAGAACAGAAAACAGTGATTGACTGGCCGAGCGGGGCGTGAAGGAGACTGCTTGCAACTTTTACTGAGACACAAGGAACACAAGCTATACCAACTATAAGTTGGTTTTACATAGAGCTTTTCTGTATGCACAGATGCACAAAAAAATATGTATAAGTAGTAACAAAATGTCAAATAATAATGCCATGATGATGACAATATTTCAGTTCCAAATTTTGTTAAGTGTGAATGGAATTGTTTGCGTGATGTTGAAGTCTGATTTGTGAAACATTATGATCTTAATTAAAGGACTTCAGCTCCAGATGGCCAATAGTGTTTCCTAACCGGGGGGTACATGTCAAAAAACTTCACAGAATGTGAGCATTGTGGCAAACGTTGAGTAGACCAAAAAAAAAAAAAAACATTTTTCGCTCTCACTGTTGTCTGGAGTCAACAAGCAAAAGAGAAGTGAGTGGGTGAGTATGGATGAAGCAGTCGCCGCTGTGGGGTCGGAGCAGCAGAAGCTTGCAGAGTGGTCGCATGTGCAGAACAAACAGTAACACAACTAAATAAAGGTTGGAAAAAAGAGCGTGGTGAAATAAAAACCATGTGGGACAATATCATTGCCGTCTTTGGGACCAGAAGGTATATACAATAGGGCCAGTCTCCTTTACCGGCCGGGACCAAGACAAAAAAGGAGCATGCTTGGCGAATTGAGAGCAAGGAAATTGGAGTACGGTACCTTGTAAGGGAACAGAATTGTTTGTAACTGCCACACCACCATTGTTTCATCATGTCAATTGTCCTCTCAATGATTGACCAAGTGCAAGAATAAGCACCGTGGTACGACCGTTCTTGGTCAGTCTGGGTGTGGATGAGAAGAGTCATCAACCAGGTTTTTGGGTTGTTGTTGACATTGGACAGCTACTGATGATGGTTGGCTCTATTGCACATGCAGTAACCACTAAGTGCAGTGAGTGTTTGTTATTCTATGCAAAATAAAGTTGTCATTAGCAGTTTATCTGTATATTATTGAACATAATCACGTGGTTTTGAAGCATCACGTTTTTCGGGCGCTGTCAACTTGACTGCTGCATTTGGCTTGTTGTGCTCGTAACGCCTTTCTCGCTGCTGTGGCTTGAACAGTGAGAGTGAAAGACACACAAATCAATGAGGCATCATGTTGCTTGTTCAACTGGGGCTTTTTTCCATCCATCAAACAATTTGCGATTATTCATTTATATTAATTGCATCAATCGATGTTTGCCTCATTGCTTTCGGCTAATATTGGATTCGTCTGCTAGCTAGCTTGTATTAGCTAGCTAGCTTGCTCATGAATCCAAAACATCAGAGGCTTGCACTTTCATGTTCATTCATCCATCCATCCATCCATCCATCCATCCATCCATCCATCCATCCATCCATCCATCCATCCATCCATCTTCTGATCCGCTTATCCTCACAAGGGTCGTGGGTGTGTTGGAGCCTATCCCAGCTGCCCTCAGGCAGAAGGCGCCAGAACTGGTTGCCAGCCAATCGCAGGGCACACGTAGACAAACAACCATTCGCGCTCACACTCACACCGAGGGAGAATTTAGAGTGTTCCATTAACCTGCCACGCATGTTATTGGAATTGGGAGGAAACCGGAGTACCCGGAGAAAACCCACGCAGGCACGGGGAGAACATGCAAACTTCACACAGGGAGGCCGGAACCGGACTCGAACCCTGCATCTCTGCACTGTGAGGTGGATGTGCTAACCAGTCGACAAACCTGTTTACTTGTCTGTTTGCCCAGGATGGGTTTCAGATGCAAACTTGATTGATTGTCTTGGAATTTTATTGCTGTCTGGTTTCAGGCTTTTTTGTCCCAGTTTAAAAAAATAAAATAAAATCAAGAGCTGTGGACCTAGCTGTAGTCATTTTTACACTTCACCTTTCTTCACATTGTTCTTTTGTTATTTTCACCAGGTATTTCCGTTGTCTTTGTGAGAAACAAAGCCCAAAGGCGGGTAGATGATAAACAATATTTCGGCAACCCAAATACGTCTAGCCACAAAAATACTCAATGAAGGACACTAATCTATTTCTTCGTATGTATATCATGTGATAGGTCGCTTTCACGTGAAGTCACTTATGTTTTGTATTTTTTTTTCTCTCTCACCATCTTGGGTGGATAGCGCTGGACTGTTTCCATTTAATTGCACAATATGCTTCTCAGTTTCTCTCAACTCAACAGTATTTATAGAGCACTTTAAAATAACCATTGCTGTACACAAAGTGCAAATATCATATGTACAACAACAAAACAACAAATTAATAACAAAGACAGTAGAAAGCACCAAACAGTAAGACTAAGATCAAGTCTGAGTCATGCCGTGTCAAATGCCATAGAATACAAATGAGTTTTGAGACGAGTTTTAAAGATGGGTAGCGAGGGGGCTTGCCGTATGTTCATGGGAGGTCATTCCAGAGAGAGGGACCAGCAACGGAAAAGGCTCGATTCCCTCTGAGCCCCCGCTTAGTTCTTGGTACTTCTAATAATGTCTGGTCCGCAGACCTGAGGCGTGTAGGGGCGGATGAGCTCAGAGAGGTAAGGTAGCGCGAGGCCATTTAAATTCCGCGCATTCTCCCAAGCTTCACGGGGCGTTTTGGAGTCTATCCCAGCTGTCATCGGGCAGGAGGCGGGGGACACCCTGAACCGGTTGCCAGCCAATCGCATGGCACACAGAGATGAACAACGATGCGCGCTCACGCTCACACCT